TCCCTCTAAGTCTCATGGTGACCTCCCCTCCGAGGTCACAACCCCTTGGTTGGGACATGTCCTTCCAGCCCTCCCCCAGCTAGACGAGGAGCTCAGGGGAAACGGTGGCCAACACTGGGCCTTCTGGGAAATTGGTACCACCCCAGGGGACCTGGGGCCACAGGTCCCTGAGCCACTCGGGCTGTGATGTGATGTCCTCTGATGAAGTCACCCACCCGTGGCTTCCCACTGAGGACCCCATCCCTTCCCGCCCCTCAGGCCCCCTCCTGTCCATCCCAATAGACCTGGCCTGCCCTCGGGTGCTGGCTGCCCTGCGCTGGGGGCGCTGCTCTTCCCAGGAACCCGCCGGGTCTTCCACAGACTCCACTGGCAGGCGGCAGGGGTCCTGGAGGGCTGGGCCTGGTGTTCAGGGTGGTGCTCTGGGGCCAGCTTGGCCGTGGCCAGCAGATGCAGGAGGTCCCTGAGCGGGTACCTGACCCACAGCTGGGCACCCCGGTCAGGTGGTTTGGGCCATGTCATTTCAGAGGTGCCAGTCTCCTAAAGCACCTGGATTCTCCAGACAGGGACTCCCCCAGCTCAGCTCTGGGGATCTGACTGGTTCCCTGTGGCCTGCGGTCCCTGATCAGCACCAGCCTCATGCACCCCGGTGGTGGCACCCTATAGGTGGGGGTCACCCGTGAGGAACCAGGACCTTGCAGCCCTCTGAGAGCACAGCTCTGGGGACAGAGGATGGGGAGGCCACTGGGGGCGCCTATAGTGCCTCACGGGTGCAAAGAGGGGTGGCCTGCCTGGTGTGGCTCTGGCTGGTGGCCCACCTGAGCGTGGCTCACGAGACAGGAAGGGAGTGCGTCTGTTGCTATGTGCAGCCCAAATACATTCTTGGGGGGAGCTCTGAGCCACTGGGAGCTCTGAGGGAGCCAGCGAGCTGCGCCTGGCCCCCATCTGCCTGGGTGGACCCAGGGCGGCCAGTTGGTCGCCATGTTGCAGCAGGATGAGAGCTCAGCAGAGCCTGGCCACCTCCCGGGGTGGCTGTCTGACGGGCTGCCAGGAGTCCTCCTTTGCAGATGGGCAAGAGGGAGGCTGCATCCACCCTGCCCGCCTCCAGCTGCACGGGCAGGGTCTGAGCTGGTAGGTGCCTTGGCAGGCTCCATTCCATGGGGTACCCTGGATGGCGTCCTTTCCGGGTCTCCCCCAGCTGCAGGGTGTCCAAGGGGCCGCTGGAGTGGGGCTGGGGGCCGCTGGGGTGGGCTGAGGTCAGCCTACGTGTCCTCACCAGGCAGGGCCGTCCCCCCGCCCAACCCATGTCCACGGGGAGTGGGAAGGCTGAGTGGACGATGAGCTTGCTAGGCCTGGGTAGGCTTTGGAGGCTGCCCCCCACCCGAGGGCTCCCCACAGGCCTAGCTGGTCTCACGTAGCCCGCAGGGGGCCACAGCCACGTGCCAAAGAAGCCCCACTCAGAGCCACTCTGTGCGTGGTGGGGTCACATGACCCTCTTCTGTCTTCCGATGTTCCTCTCTCTTCCTTGTGGGGGGACGGCAGTGCCTACTCGGGGTCTCATCCAATCAGCTGGGGATATCAGCACCAAGCCTTGGGACAGGGGCCAGCTGGGCTGTCACTGCTTGGGTGGGAGGTCAGGCTACCTCATCCTCCTTAGTCCCCCGCCCCCACGGCTGGTGCCCTATGGGACACTCTGGGAGCACTGTCCCCTCCTCTGAAGTATGGCATATGGCAGCCTGCTTGTTTCCAACCCCTGAGGACGGGGGTGGTGCAACAGGAACCGAAAAGAAAACCCGGCCTAGGAAGGCCACCTGCGAGGTGCTGTGTGCATGTCAGGGTGGGGCCAGGAGCTCCACCCGCACTGGGGGAGGCCTGGCCAGTGTCTGGACTGGTCAGAATGTCTGCAGTCTTCTCTGAAACTTCCTGCCTGGCCCTGGTCCTATAGCCAGGGAGGACCTGTGGCAGACATCTAGAAAAATGGGGTGAGGGCCATGTCAGGATGGGTCAGGGCACGGAAGAGTGCCCGGGTGCGAGCATCGTGGCTCAGGACTCGACTGCTGTGCTGTGCTGTGCAGGCCGCTGGGCTCCTGTGCCCTGCTTCCCCTCCTGTGGGTGAGACGGCGGCACCCATGTGGGAGGCACACACTCCCCCTCCTCCCAGGGAGGGTGCTTAGGGGAAAACGGGGCTGGGGTCACAAGGCGGGCTGGGGTCACAATGCAGGCCGGGGAGGTGCCTGGCCCCTCCTGGTGTCTCTGCTCTCTCTGCCCTGGCCACCTCCTGAGACGCCATGTGGTACTAGTCAGGGTCCCAGGTCCCAGCCTTCATCCTGGAGAGCCGGGGATCTTAGTGGAATGGGGAGTAGCTGGACAGGTCCCAGCTCACTGGGCCCAGTGGGCCTTGGGAGCTCAGCAGTGCTGTTCAACCAGAACCAGGGTCCCCCAGCAGTGCCACAGGGATTTCTGAGACTCACGTTTCAATCCAGTGCAGGATCTTACTCTGTAAGGTCTTCTGAACCCTCTGATGTCGCATCCATCTGGACCCTGGGAAAGATGTCCTGTTGGGTCACGGGCCCAGTGGGTCTCTCAGGACTGTCAGGGAGAGCCAAGGCCCTGGCTCCTGAGCTCCCTGGTGCCAGGCCTGGACTTGGGTGGCCAGTGCAGCAGCTTGGGTGAACACTGAAGGGGTGCCCACCCGGGGCCAGTACATGATCTGGCCTGCCCCCTCCTGGCCCTGCCTGGTCCAGCCTCCTTGCAGTGTGAGGTGGGGATACAGGGTGGTCCAGGACCACCTTTCTGTTTACTAGCTGGAAGCCACTGGGATGCAGGTCAGGGGGCCAGAGCCCAGGCCACA